TCGGCCCACGGAAACTGCCGTGGCCGCTGCTCCGTTTATAATGACGCCGGTCAAGTTCCGTGGTCGAACCCCTGTGAGGCTCGGACAATAAATGCCCCCCCGAACCTTAACCATTTGGGATTTCCCGACGCCAGGCGGGAGTCCCGCTCCCGCCGGGTGGTGGTTGCGGAGGGGTGGGCGTCTCTCGGGACACGGCGTCGTGTGATGCCCTGCGAGATGGGCTGGAATCCTTGTCGTGTGTGAATGCAGGACACAGAGCAGGAACTACGGGGATCTGGGAGGGCTCCGTGAAGCTTTTGTTCGTGTACTGGAGAAAACGTGTGCTTGAAACCTTGGCTCTTGGGTTTGTTTTGCTTTTTTTTCCCCCCCATCCTCTAGTTAAAAATCCATTAAAATACCCGATGTCCTGGAGCAGTGAAGACTTCTAGAATTTAGCAGAACCTAAATATCTACTCTGAGGATTTTCTTACGCTGTTTAGGCGAATTAGATACATTTTATTTATACTTAAGGTTTTGTAAGCACTGGGTGATAATTTGTTCCTGTCTTGCCAACAGACTGATACGGAGTTGCTTTGTTCCTGTAGAAAGCTGGATAGGACTTATTCATGGAGGCTCAATGGTTGTTCTTGCCTGTCTTTTAATTGGCAAATTTGGACTCCGGGTTCATTTCCCTGAAAGAATTTGATAAAAGTAGAAGGAGTTGGGGAAAGAAAGAGAGGTTTTATTATTTTTTTTTCTGTTTTGCTAGAGCTAGGGAAAGGTAGGAAGGTGCTTTTCTTCTTTCCAGAAAAGTGCTTTCTCCGCGTGGTATGGCTTTTTAACAACACACGTGGGTCAAAACCTGGTCTTCTCTTATATATATGGATTGTTTCTTTGTTGCATTACCCTAGCAGCTTTAGGACTGTGAAACTGGCAGTGACCATAGTTGAGAAATCCCCAGGAGAAGGCAATGTGTGGGAGCTGTGTGCTTTTCTTCCCTTCTACCTGATAAAGTATCTTTAGTTTTTTGTAATTTAGGAAGAGAGAAGTGTGTTCCTGGGAAAAGTAGAACCTGGAACTAATCCTTTTATCTAATTATGGGTGTAGTGTGTGTTCATTAAGAGTTCATTAAGACCTAATTTGCTTGGGGCATTATTTGTTTTCCTTTTAGACCGTTTTCTGAGAAAGGTCTTTTTTGTACAGCTACTCAGTTTGCCTTTTGACAAACTGCAGTGGTGTAGAAGTGGTGTAATCCCAAGACTTCTGCCTCCTTTTTTTTTTTTTATTTCTCAGTACAACTCCTTTCCTAAAACTGTAATAAAATGGTTGCAGTACTTTCTTTGCAGTAGTGGCTTAGCCTGAGGTTTGTTCCTGAAGCCTGTACCTGGCAGTCATCTAAACTTCCAATAGCTCAGAGTCTGTTAGGCTTCTAGTTTGGTCTTGCAAAACTTATGTAATATTTTCTTCAGCTTCCCAAGAGAAGGCATGTTAAAGATCTACAGATATATGCCTATAAGGCTGCTCTCTCTCAAAATAACAGTTGAATTATAATATTCTTTTGTTCTTGTTCCCATTTTTACTTTACTAAGCTTTGGGTTTTTATTCAATTTAAAATAAAATTCATAAGTGGTATATAATCGTCATCTTAATGAACAAGTTGTATTTAACTCTTTGCTTCTTTCTCATGACAGACAGAATAACTCAGGATGAGCAAAAAAAAGAATGTTGACATTCAAAATGCATGTAAGTAAGGTTTTAATTAAATACTTCTAGAGATCTTTAATCTGAATATACAAAACCAATTACAACTGATGTATTATTTGGGCTCAAAGAACAGGTGACTTCTTAGTAATCAGATTGTCAGAACTACTTGTCTGAAGGAATGAAAAGAAATAACTTTAAAAACTTCCTTGGATTTGTTTGGTGGAATTGGTTTATTTAAAAATACTCTTTCTGCATACATTTGTAAAAAGTAACCTTGGGAATTCAGCTGCCAAATCACACACAGCTATGTTTGAGGTGTATTGCTCAAGACTTGTATTAGGCTGAAGGCCTACCTCTGTTGTGTCCCTACTACGACTGTCCATGATGTCAGGATATTGAAAATGTATCATATATCTATTGAGAATTGAAGGGAAGATATTCAGTACTTGTGGAATTACGTGGTTAGGAACTGCAGACATAGGGAATCCTCGAGGTTCTAGCAGACTCCAGTGCTGTCTTAAAACCTTGAAAGTTTTGAAACTGGCATATGTTTCAAATGCACTAATAGCATATGACTTGATACAATCAGGATGCCATTCATAGGCTTTTCACAACGGTTATTCCATAGGTATACAAAGAAACAGTTCAATTGCTTCATAGTTTGTAACATGCCAGTGTCTTTATGTACAATACTAGAAACCATTAGCTAACATTTTACATGCGCCTGGACATTTTTGGCCGTTTGATAATTATCTTTGGATGTTTTGGGAAGAACATTTCAGTTGGGAGCACAATCTGCTTCTGAATGTAGCTTGGTGATAGCTTTCTGAATCACCAGGCAGGTGGAACTGCTGAAGTATTTTCTTTTTAGGAACTAGAAAGGAACAAATAGTACCCTCTTCTGAATTTACAATAAAGAGTCAGAGTATCTACTGTCCTTTATCCAGTAATCTACTTCAAAGTACCTATGATAAAAAGAGAATTAAGTTACTGCTTTATAGCTGATCCATAGTAATTCCAGTACATTCACTGTGGTTATAAAAATTATTCTGTATTTCAGGCTGTGTTCTCTGTGCACAGACAGATGACTGCCCTGAAAAGTATGGAGAAAAAAGAACCTATGTTGAGTACAAGCTCACTGTTCATTACTACTGTTTGGTAAGTATGTGGCATTGATCTTAGAGCTTGTCTGTTTTAACTTAAAAAAAAAAAGGTAAATGCAACATGTATTAAATAGTAAAAACCTGTCCAAACAGTTGCTACAACAGTTTTGTTGTTGTAAAGCTTGAACTGTTGGCTTTAACTTGAAGCCTTGAAGCCTTGTACTTGTTAGGTGCAGCAGGTGATATAAATAAATCCCAACAAGCCTTTGTTCAGAGCTAAATTCTGTTCACAACCCATTTAAATGCACCACTTAGTTTTCCCAACCTATCATAGCAATGAAGATACATGTTAAGGGAAAGCGAAGAGATTGCACCTACATACTCACTTCTATAAGAGAAGTGTAGTTTCAAAATTTGGAATGTGAAAATTCCACCTCTTGTGAAAAAAGTAGAGAAAAATTGTCTTTTTTCCCCTCATTTCTTATTAGTTCTTGTTGGCTGTGAGTTATTCTCTGACATTACATAAGACATTGCAACACCTAAGAAATACTCCTACATTTCAGTTTAGTAATGTGTACCCTGCTGGTCATATATAAAATTATCCACAGTATCACTATTCGTTAAGAGTTTATAATTTGAACAAAGTTATGGATAAAAACTACAGTTGAGTATCTTTTGTTATCACACTTAACATTTTCTTACATTCATGTTCTTAAAGGTATGCTTTAACTACCTTTCAAACTCTAAATTTTGAAGGTATTTAAAATAATATGACTATTTAAAAGAACGGGTTGGTTGGTTGGTTTGTTTAGTAAGTGCAGTTTGAAAGTTTTCCCCAAGTTAAAAAACAAAACAGTCAAGAATATCAGGAACAATTTGAGGTGTTTGTTTTCTCAACTACTTCTTTTAAAGATTGTGTTTATTGCAGGTGGTTAATAGGTTGGATATTGAGTCTTTTAAAGACTAGGCTGATTGGAGGTTTTCTGAAGCTGTATAGATTTTTATTTTTTTTCTCTTAAATTTAAAGCAGCTGGAAGTAAATTTAGGTCTGTTTGTGATCATTTTATCTCATACATAATGCCATATGAAATGATAGGGAAAAGTTCCTTCCTGATGGAACAGAATAGCCTGAGCCTTTTAGGATTTATAAGATCTTCTACTGTAATGAGCTTCCTGCAGTCATCTTCTAAGTTTTAGACCCTGCTTCCTTTTAAAAACACAGACAAACAAACCCCTCTGATTTTACTTAAATATAGTAAATATGTAAGAAAAGAGTTCTTCTCGAATGAGGCCAGTCAGTGGTGAAGTTTCACGTTTTGAGAAAATATATTCTTAATTGCTTTTGGTATAAATTTTTGCTTTTTTTTGATTAAAATATTGATCAAACTGTAAGTAGAAAACAGTGCTGTGTTGAAATTATAAAATTAGAACTACAAAATGAGATTGTAAAGAATACAGGGGGCATCAAATTTTGAAACTATTTAGTTATTTGAATTTTATAATGTAAGTGCATTGCTAAGTAACTTTACATTATCATGAGGCTTCTTGACTTGCCTGGTTACTTGATTCTGTTTTTATTTAATTCCATAAAGTGAATTACTTTTCCTCTTAGGTTGCACTTCAGTACAGATACTTCCTACTGTGCTTCATTAACTTCACAGCACAATTGTCATTCACCTTAACTAAACTAATTTAATTTTATTTCCTCTGAAGCTTCATAAGCTCAAAGTAATTGTTTGATAATTAACTGAATAGTCTGTATGCTTAAAAAGGAAGGTAAAATATAGCATCTTGGGCTATACAGTGCTATATAAGGCTTTGATGTTATGAAATACTTATTTTCATTTTACTGGTTACTATTTTCTGGATGTTTTGGATCAGTTTTTTAATCATTAAAATATTTCCACACAAGCTTTGTTAGGCTAAACTTCTCCCTTGACAAATTTAGTGTAGGTAATCTTAAATCTTTAGGTAGGTGAGTGTTTTAAAATACTTAATTTGTTTTCATAGCTGATGTCAAGTGGCATATGGCAGAGAGGGGAAGAAGATGAAGGTGTATATGGATTCTTAATCAAAGATATCATAAAAGAAGTAAAGAGAGCTTCCAGACTGGTAAGAATAAAGTCATTGGTATTTACAAGGAAAAAAAAACCACAACAAACTTTCAAGTGCATTTAGTATGGCCTGTGGGTTTTTTTTTGTTTTCTTTCTCCAATGGGCAGTGTGTTGAGCCCATTCAAGCATCTGAATTTCACATTTAAGTAACAAGTATATTGGGTTTGTGGAAGCCACAGAGGACAATAAAATCTGCAAAAGTTTACTAGTATTTTTATTTCCTGGGTATGATGCAGAAAAATGAATAAGAGCAAATGACACATGCATAGGACCTCATGATATTATGCTGAGCCTCAACCTGACATTATATAGTTTTATAAGTGCAACTAAACTAGATACTGGTAAAGTAGCTTGTATTTTAGCTTTCATGTCAGAAATCAACATGAATATAAAATAGTACGTCATCAAAGTCTGTGCAATATCTATGTATCTTTACTCTGAAATAGAAGTAAGACATGGTAGTCTTGTCACTTACAGTCTATTGGCTGATAATATTCTTATGCATCTTGCGATTTTTCTACTGGTTTAATTCCTGTAATTTTGCTTGTACTTACAAAGTTAATATTCTGTTATTTCTAAAACAAATTATTTCTAGAAATGTAATATCTGTAAGAAAAAAGGTGCTTCAATTGGATGTGTAGCTCCCAAATGCAAAAGAAGTTACCATTTTCCTTGTGGGGTACAAAAAGAATGTATTTTCCAGTTTATGGAAGACTTCAGGTAAGTTCTGAGGTTTTTTGTTGTGGTTTTTTTTTTTTCATTATATTTATACAGGATGTGATTTGTTTTTTCCTGGTTTGTTATTGGATGAGCTATTCATTATAAATTATATAAGTAAAAGTAATCTGATTTGTGGAAAATACAAACACCAAGCAGTTATTGGTTACCTAGTACCTATAAACTAAATTCTCAGCACTTACAAAGATACAATTTAATGCTTCTACAAGTAGTTAAATTGTTCACAAATCCTAAACTCTGAAATAGGCTTCAAAATAGTTGGTTCTGGTTTTTTTGTCTACCCCCTATGCCCGTGTTGAAATGGCAGTGGTTTGGCTTGTCTATCGATCTCAACAGTCAAAACATCTTGTATGCCATTCCACTGTGTTTCAAGCATAACACTTCTAGATTTGCTTATTAGAGAAACAGGCTTAATATCAAATATCTAAAAAAAAGAAGGTTTTTTTTTTGTTTACTATCATCTGTCCAGCATCTTAGCTGTCATCAAAGTCCTGAGTGTATTCAATAACAGCTTTATTCTGTCCATTGTAAGCAGAGTTTGAAGGATGGATGAAGTCTGGCAGACACACTAACTTCTTAAATAAACAACTCCTATTAAGTCAAGGAAGTGTAAAAGTAATGCATTTTCAAAAGGCTTCTTCTAGACCTGCATTTATTACCTGTTTTATTTCTTTGAAAGAGTGCTAAGTTATCAAGTTCATCACACCACATAGACTTTGCAGAATGAATATGCAAACCCAAAATTGTTTCTTTAAGGTCATGGTAATGTTGAAATATAGGAAGAACTTAAGGTTCTGAGGACAGAAAATGCATTATTTGGACTAAAAGAAGTTTTGAAAGAAAGGAGGTATACGATCTGTGTAGTTTACAGAGCATCAGTTGGCAACACACTTCTTGCTTCTATTGACTTGGTCTGTTAGATATACATAACTTGTTTACATGTGTGTTATGGGTTTAACCCTAATAGGCAGCAGAGCCCCACACAGCCACTTGCTTGCTACCTGCAGTGGGATAGGAAGAGAATCAGAAGGGTAAAGGAGAAAATTAATGGGTTGAGATAAAAGGCAGTTTAATAGGTAAAGCAACAGTTGCATGCACAAACAAAGCAAAATAAGGAATTAATTTAGTACTTCCCATCAGCAGGCAGATGTTCAGCTATTTCCAGAAAAGCAGTACTTAATAATGTGTAACAGTTACTTGGGAAGACAAATGCCATAGCTTCAAATGTCTCCCTATCCTCCTTTTCTCCAGTTTTATTGCTGAGCTTGATGTCATGGTGTGGAATATCCCTGTGGTCAGTTGGGGTCAGCTGTCCCAGCTGTATCTTCTCCCAATTTCTTGTGTACCCCAGCCTGCTCGCTGTTGGGGCAGTGTGCGAAACAGAAAAGGCCTTGACTCTGTATAAGCACTGCTCAGCAATAACTAAATAATTAATATCCTTGTGTTATCAACACTCTTTAATTACAGATCCAAAACACAGCACCACACAAACTACTTTGAAGAAAATTAACTCCATCCCAGCCAAAACCAGTGCAAGTCTTTTTAGCTACTTCCACAGCATTTGTTCATGAAAAAAACAGATGTAATAAGGAATTCATTTTGCTATCTTCGTATTTTATAAGGAAGGTTCTTAAAATGTTGTTTTCATACGGGAACTTAAATTATTATTCTTAGATCATACTGTTGGGAACATAAACCTGTTCAAAACTTTCCGGATAAAGAATGTGGAGGAACGTCACAGTGTACGATATGCCTGGATTTGGTTGAACAACTTCCGGTGTACAATGTATTGAAAAGTCCTTGCTGTAAAAATGCTTGGTTTCATCGACAATGCATACAGGTAACACGAGTTCTCCCTTTCCTTTTCCCAGAGATCACGTATCTTTTGTGTTTAGAAATAATGGAACAGTTGCTGAAAATTATGTAAACAATACTTGGGTTTATGTAAGCAGTAGATACAGAAGTGTGCTAGAAGGGCAATGCTAAAATTGTGTTTTGGAGACAAGACTGGTGTCTTAGGATAATTTTTTTTTTTCACTATAAATTTCCCACAGCCCCCTGCCCCCTCCACCATGTTTCTGCAGGTGTGAGAAACTGATGCTTTTAGTTATTTTTAGGAACTGAAGTGCAACCTAGGTAGTTGCTTTCTTGCAAGTCATTATGTGCAGAATCTAAATGCTATAAATGTCATTGATCCATCATTAGTTGTTTTTGCCTGTGTTCAGAGCTAGGAAAAGTCAAGTTCTTTTTGTAAACCCATTCTAGATTTGGAGAGATTGACTAAAAATGATTGTGCTTTTTTTTTTTCTTTCCATGAACCTTATTCTAGCATGTGAACTCTTGTCCTTTAAAGGAAGAGGAAATGCTCACCACTTGCTTCAATGTCAAGTGACACTAAAATTGATGCCAGTGTTAATATCCACGTCAGAACATATCTATTAATGTCAGAATATCCATTAATGTAATGGTTATAGATACTAAGGCATTAGTTATTGGCAACCTAAGGATGGTAGTAATTCAATAATTGGTTTGTTTTCTGTTGTGTTGTGTTTTTTTTCTTGACACAGTATCAAGCTTTGAGTGCTGGGATATTTTTCTTTAGGTGCACAGTATGTAATAACAAGGACAAATTTCAGAAAGAAATGTTGAGAATGGGCATACACATTCCAGAAAAGTAAGTAATTTTGTAAATAATCACTTTTCTATAAAGCCCTTCATAGGGTGTTAAAGCTTTTTTAAATTTAGACTACAGAACTGTGAAACCTCAGTTTCACAGTTATACTTCAATGGTATAATTGTTTGGTTTGGTAAGGAGTAACTTCTTTCCTTGTAGCAGTTCTGAGTTACTTTCTGTGGGACCATTTTCAGTAGTTAGCTTGAGTAGACTGCCAAAACAAATATCCATGTCTGCTGTGAGAGGGAAAACACAATAATATGAAACAGCAAACATGCATAGAGGTCATGTGAAAAATAAGAAATACTTTCATCATAGTAACTGTACACAAGAAAAACTCTATGTATTTTATAGTATTATTTTGGTTCCTAGATGTTCTTCTACCTCACTTGTCTAGCTGTTGCTTACAACATTACATGATTGAAATATCTTCATGTGGTTATTACATACGTATTTTCCAAAGACAGAATAAGCCACTTAAACAATTGGAAACAGTTGTAGTCACAGATCTTTCACCTTGTTTATAGGGATGCATCTTGGGAACTTGAAGAGAATGCCTATCAAGACCTACTTCAATGTTATCAACACTGTGACATTAAAAGATGTCGCTGCAAGAAAGGAAGAGACTATAATGAACCTGATAGGTATGCAGTTTTGCAGGAAGGTGTAACCTAGGATGGAGTAGTTCTTTGGTGATCTTTAATTTTTATACTTAAATGCTTTAATATTTTTTATCATCAGGTTTTAATGCCAAGTCAAAACTCCATGTCCAAATAAAATGTTTGTTTTACCCACAATATTTCAATACTAGTTTTCTTGGGTTATAAAAGCCAAGAGAACCAAGTCAATCAATTATCAGTTATCTTGTCCTTGTTCTTACTTGATACAGAGTTGAAGTAGAGTTTGCATGTCCACATAACATGTAGAATAGCGTGTACCTAAACCAGTGTTGTGTGTCAGTCAAAGCTTAATTCAGCAACTTTATAAATGTTAGACTGCATATTACCTTTACATGAAAAGTAACTACCTGTGTACAATTGATATAGCTCCAACTTATACTTTTGCATGCAAATGGCAGCTAGAATATTGCTGACAGCTTAATGAGAGGCTTGAGTGATCATGTGAAAGGCTTTATTCTGCTCTACCACTTGCTTAATTTTTTTATTTACAAGTTCATTATCTTAATGCATTCTTGTTTTATTTGTGTGCTTCTGAAATGGGTATCTTTCATTGGCATGGGCATACTCAGAGTTTTTGGAGCCTCTACTTTGAAGACTTGTTTCTGTGGTACTCTTGTAGCTTACTGCCTGTAGACATTAACTTTTGCTTTTTGTACAGATTTGACCAAATATTGCTTGGTTCATTCATGGTGAGTGTGTACCTCAGGATTTACTTTGCCTTTAAGAGTTGTACTATAGGCTTCCAAGAAAAATCAGATACGCTCCTTCAAAATATTTAATGTTTGTAAAAGCTGAATGGTGGGTACCGATAAAATGTAGAGGATGTTGCTGCCTGGCAACAAGAGAAGAAAATACTGGCTTCAAGTTCTTGACTTCAAGGAGGGGACCACACTAACTCAGTCTCTCTCAGTACAAGATACTGGAGCATGGATAGCTTTCTTTTTTCACTTGTTGCAGCCAGGAATTGTGAGTATAGCTCATCTGAAGAAAGCTCCCCTTCAGTCCTACCAGCTTGATAAAATTTTGCTTTGTTAGTTTAGTGTCTGGTTTACACTTGCTGTTGAATATTCTGTCTTTTAACTAGTGTCATAATTCAGTCTAATTCTAAATACCTGATTTTTAATTTTAGTAAATGGGAAATAAAGCGTTGTCAGTCTTGTGGATCCCGTGGAACTCATTTGGCCTGTTCATATATGAAGTCATGGGAGCAAAACTGGGAGTGCATGGAATGCAGAAGTATCTTTGCAAAATCAGGTAAAGTTATGGATGTGACTTTTTAAAATGGTGAACTTTAATACTATGTATTTTACAGCTAGCAAATCCACTAAATCAATACAATTTAATCATACAGGGAATTACAGCAAACAGAAAAAGCATTCCTTGGCTACCTGTGAAAAGACAGATGGAACACCTTGTTTACTGGAAGAGCCATCTCCAAAGCGCTGTCGGAAGTCTCCTGGATCTCAACGCAGTGTTCTCCAGTGTGTAATTTTCTCTTTTCAAGCAGAAACCGATTATAACGTAAAGTAGTATTTAAACTGAGAAGGTGATGGCTTATTTTGTAGGAGACGCTTCTTACGCTGAATTGCAAATTGAGTAAAATTGGAGTAAAGTTTAGTGACTGAAGTTTTCTAAGCTGTGAACTCTGTAAATTCATTATAGTTACATTCGGTGGCATGTAAAGCAGCTTTTATTTTGATGAAATTAGATACTTGTGAAAGGAATATTAACAATTTAGGGGTAACTTCAAATGTACAAAAGGCAAAACTTCAAGCTAAGGTTGCTTATCAGTATTTTTTCATGTTAGTAGTGCTCTAGACATCTAACTTATAAACATCTTTGTATAAGTAATGTTTCCTCTGCTGTAATAAAAACTTCACAAGTCTGTAGAAATTGATATTCTTTGTTTTTATTTTATAGTATCAGTCAGGACTAAAAACAGATCTGAAAGCTTCCACATAATAAAATACTGGATTATTATCTTTTTTTTAATTGTGTTTAAGGCACTGATGGAGTTAAGGTAAATGAGCATACAATGAGATTCAGTACTGAAATGGGGGGCAAATTACATTGCCACTTTCAAATAAGAAATGTTTATGCATTCTTCAATTGTATCTCTTCTTAAAATACTGTTTTGGCTTACAGATCATCAAAGATAATATGCCAGAACAACTTGTCACCCTGCTCACCCATAGAACTTCCAGCATCCAACAGAGTGACGATGTCTTTACCTCCGCTGATGTCAAGCAGGAATTTGTCCCTGAGGAAAAGGTACTTTCTTCTATTTTTCTTACATTGAAGAGTAATCTAGCATATGGCTTTACACCATATTTCCTACAGAACATGGTGTGTGTGTGTGTATAAATAGTGGCTATATATATATATATTTGTGTGCATGTGTATAGTCACTGGAAAAGTTGCATAAGTACACTGAAGCGCTAAAGTCATAACTTTCTAAAAGCTTCTTCTGTTTCTAAATGCTCGAGGAGAGGCAGTGAGGAGAAAAAAATTATATGTCTTGAGAATTTTTAGGTTAGGTAGTGAGAGGATCAAAACTCAGAAACACCTATTTGTCCTTACCAAAGTGTGGCTAGTCATACTTAACAGCAAACAAAAAGAATCAAATAATCCTAATTATTTTCTACAAATCAGACATGCTCTGAATTTTCAATGGTTTTGCATTTATACCATAGAAATAGTTTGTGATTGTGCTAAAATCAGTGGTAAAATAACATTTTAATATAGAATATTAAGTTTAAGGATACAAAAAATATTTTACCTTGTTGTAATTTATGAATCCAACCTGTAATATGTGCTCAAAATTCTGATGAGGGAGTTGGTTACTTCTAGTAGGTAGAGTATTGAAATAATTTTCATTGCAAGTTGCAAAAGAAAGGGGTCTTATTTAGACTCATGTCTTACATATTTACATAACAACTGCAATGTTTCCCTCTACTCAAATGTATTTTTTATTATAGTGTCAAGTTTTAAATATTAGTGAGTAGTTGATAGTGTATGCTAATTTAGTTGCAGAACATACATTTCATACAAACTTAGTAAGCTCTTCAATTTCTCACTTGTTTCATATTGTTCAAATGTAGAACAAAGGTGTGAGAATTGTTTGGCACTATGTTGGTGTTACTGAATTAAGAAAATAACTTCATCTTATGCTAAGTTAATTATTTCAACCTCCTTTATTCTAGTTCTTAGAGGTACGTTAAAATTTGAAGGATCTACAACAAATATTTTACTGATATAATTTTGGCAATACCTAAATTATTACACCTAAGTATTTAAAAAGGTGCTTTTCTTAATAGGTTTTTACAATGTTTCCTGTATAATTGTTGCTAATCATGAATCACAGATTTAATCTGAAAATACATGCAATTTTCTTGTAGGCATTTAAGACAGCAAATAAGGGAAGTTTCTAATATACTGAAGGAATTAAAGCTACAAGTTAATAAAAAAACTACAACGCTTAACATCAATACAAAAAATATCTGGAATAGTTCTTTACAAGGATTTAGACAACGCAGCTTCAGTCCTACAAACACCATCAAAATAAAGTTCACCAACTGCCAAAATAAATCAAAGACAGATACTTCTGCTGCATCAAAACACCATTTCTTTCAATTATTAATGCTTCACCTTCAAAATTCATCACTGTTTGAGGGCTCTTCTGCAAAGAACTTGTCCCTTGATTTTCAAGGTAATTAAAGGCTTTGTTTAAAAATACATTATAACTTTGCAACTTAAAAGGCTTTGAAATCTTCAGCCAGTGTGGTTGTCAGTTCTCAGTTATAGTCCTGAGGAACAGAAATTGCTTTTTGAATTTCTTGTCTTTACAATTCTAAAAGGGAGTGGGCTGTTGAGTTGTAATAACAAAAATCAGTTGTCATCAACTTTTCCAACTAAACTAAGGAAAAAAAACAGCGTGTAATTGCACTTCGTGCTTTTAAATGTATGTATTTGTTCTCTACAGGTGAATTGCATTCTTCCTCACTTTCCCTGGTACTCATTTTCCTTTCCTCAAATTTCTAGAACATTGTTTCTGTTAGCATGCTTCCTAAAGACTCAAACTTAGCTTCTTTGAATTCTTATGCTTCAGAGTTAAGTGTGCATTGGTACAAAGTAGAAAAGGAAGTTACTTCTCTTCCCAAACCTTGATAGTGGCTGAGAACTTGGAGTATAATTATATGGTCCTCCTATGTAAAATATACCAGTCGTACCATTTCAACCAGCAGGGGATGACCACCCTCATTTGTTACATCTCCTGAAGTAAGAAGGAACTGTATTATGAGATTTTTCTATCTAAAAAAAATTAGTAGCACAAATTATTTTTGTGCATAAATAGTAATTTATATTTCTTTTCATTTGCAGCTGTAAAAGAGAATCTTTATTTTGAAGCTGGTAAAATGATTGCAGTTTCTCTGGTTCATGGGGGCCCATCTCCTGGTTTCTTTTCCAAAACACTGTTCAATTGTCTTGTCTATGGTCCAGAGAATGTGAAGCCAGCTTTGGAAGATGTTGCTGATGTTGATGTAGCACAAACAATAAAAACGGTAAATAAAACAAAACTTATTCAATACTGTATTTGGACTAATAAAGAAGGGCTTATTGACTAGAATTTTAGTTCAGATTTAAAAAGCTTCTTTCTCATATGTGTATACACACAATGTAGTAAATAAATTCCTGACTTTTATCTTTCAATACAGATAAAATACGCAAATAGTCTGTCCAGCCTAGAGTCTGCAGTATACAACTGCCATGAATTCCTTGCTGCTGCTGGATGTTTAAGACCTGTAACAGCTTTGTGTGATAAGAATATGCTGGTGAATGACATCCTGATCCATCATGTAATCAAGAGAGTTAAATTACCTTTGGAAAGGTTTGTTTTCTAAAACTTAACTTTTACATGTTCTTATTTATTCTCCATTTAAGCCAATGAAATGTACTGTAATTTTAACTGTTAACTAGCTAGTTAAACTGAAAGATTGAAATAATTACTCCTTGATTGCATTCCTCTTTCAACCTTAGGAAGAGTGCAGTTTCACAGTTCTAAACTATAGAATGACAAAGACCTTTGCACTAAAAAATTGTTTTATCTCATGTTAGTTTTTAATTAAGAATTTTTCAAATTTAGAATCTTTACATTTTAGAAGTGTTAAACTTGTTTAGAACTTGAATGAGTTTTCCAGAGTCCTAATTAGGAAATTTTTGTGTGCTATTAAGAGGGCAATAATATGCACAAGTGTAAGTTGGCCTGCTTAAAATGTAAGCCCTTACACTGATGTTTCCATGATGTAGTGATGACTTCAAATAGATGGGAAAGTTGCAGCCACTTACTCCCTTTTCATTGGTCTCTTACAATATTTCCTATTTGTCTTCTTATCTTAAAGGGATTGGATGCTAATAGATGCTGTAGTTAGATTTATACTTAACACATTTAAGGTGTTGTCTTTGCCAAATTTGCATGAACTGAATCTTCTGTGAAAAACATAATTTTGAATGTGAGGATTCTCTTAACAAATTTGAGAGAATTCTTTCAGTGAAGACCCTCTTTGGCACATTTGACCAATCATAGAGTCATCAGGGCTGGAAGGGACCTCTGAAGATCATCTAGTCCAACCTTCCTACTAGAGCAGGATCGCCTATAGCAGATCACACAGGAACATGTCCAGATGCATTTTGAATGTTTCCAGAGGAGGAGACTCCACAACCTCTTTGGGCACCTTGTTGCAGTGCTCTGTTACTCTTCCAGTGAAGAAGTTTTTTCCTCCTGTTTAACTTGTACCTCTTGTGCCCCTTGTCCTTTGTGCTATTAGTGGACCCTGTGGAAAAGAGAGTGGACCCATCCTCCTGGCATCTGCCCTTTAGATATTTACAAGCATTTATGAAATCCCCCCTCAGTCTCTTCTTCTCTAGGCTAGACAGATTCAGCTCTCTCAGCCTTTCCTCATAAGGCAGATGCTCCATTTCTCTAATCATCTTTGTGGCTTTGCACTGGACTCTTTCTAGTAGTTCCTTATTCTTTATGAATTGGGGAGCCCAGAAAGGGATTCATTTCTCCAGATGTGGACTCATCAGCGCAGAGAGAGGGAGGATAACCTCCTTTGACCTACTGGATACTCTATTCTTAATGCACCCCAGGATGCCATTGGCCTTCTCGGCCACATGGGCACATTGTTGGCTCATGGTCAGCCTGTTGTCCACCAAGATCCTGAGGTCCTTCTCCCCAGAGCTGCTCTCCAGCAGGTCAGCCCTCAGCCAGTACTGATACATGGGGTTGTTCCTCCCCAGATACAGCATTTTACATTTGGCCTTGTTGAATTTTATTAGGTTCTTCCTGCCCAACTCTGTAGTCTGTCCAAGTCATGCTGAATGGCAGCACAGCCTTCCATTGTGTCAGCCACCCCTCCCCATTTTGTATCATCAGTGAACATGCTGAGTACACTCTATCCTTTTGTTCAGATCATTGATGAATATATAGAACAGGGATGGACCCAGCACCAACCCCTACCCCACTTACCACAACTCTTTGAGCTCTGTCCTTCATCAGTTTCCAGTCCACCTCACTGACCTATGCACAGCTCTCAAGTTTGGCTGTGGGGATGCTGTGGAAGATGGTATCGAAAGCCTTGCTGAAATTAAGGTAGACCACATCCACTGCTGTCTCCTTGTCTATCCTTCCAGTCTTGCTATTGTAGAAGTCTATCAGATTAGTCAAGCATGACTCTCCCTTGGTGAATTCATGCTGGCTGCTCCTGATGACCCTCTTTTCCTCAACATGCTTTGAGATGGCACCAAGAACAAGCTGCTCCATCACCTTTCCAGGTGTGGAGGTGAGGCTGACCCATCTGTAGTTCCCCAGGCCCTCTTTCTTGCCATTTATGAAGACTGGAGTGCCACTGGCTTTCCTCCAGTCCTCACGCATTTCTCCAGGACTTTTGAAAGATGGAGACTGGCCTAGCAATTACTTGAGCCAGCTCCCTCAGGTGCATCCCATCAGGGCCCATGGATTTGCTGATGTCCTGTTTACTTAGTTGGTCTCTAACCCAGTCCTCTTCAGCCAAGAAGAGTCTTCCTTTAGCCTGTCTTCCTCTGTCGTCTTGAAAGTCTGGGACCCCTGAGGGTCAGCCTGAACAGTAAAGACTGAGGCAAAGAAGGCATTCAGTAACTGCCTTCTCTATACCTTCTGTCACCAGGCCACGCCTTGCATTCAGCAATGGGCCCACATAGCAAGAAATAATGTATATTGTATTTTAAAACTAGGAAGTTAAAAAGTGACAGGTAATAAGGAGACTGTTTATGTAAAATTGTGATTTTTTGCATTTTTGGAAATGGGCTTAAAAATTGCAAAGGCAAGTAGAGTTCACCTGAGCCTTCTCTTACATAAAACTATGTGAAGTTCCAAGAAATAAAGTTAATTTCTGCATGTCACTGGTATTTCTCTCATTTGTTGAGAAAGCTTAGATTGTTAAAATGAGAATGTAATAGCTTTTTTAAAGATTAAAATGAAATGGGATTACTACATACACCTTGTTGACAAGACTTGGAGACTGCAGATGGGGAAACTTCATTATGTCCAGTCTTGTGTTTTAAAATGCAGAGTACAATTAGTTACGTACTGGTTTTCTGATACATGCTTGCTTTTTTTTTTTCTCCTAGTTTTAGGCAAGGTTTAGAAACTCTTGGTGTGTTGGAGAAAATGCAAATGCATCCAGATGTGTTCTCCCATGTATTGTGCCACAAACCTGAAAGACTTTCAGCAGAAACTATTTGTGATCTCTTTACAATCCATTCCTCATCAGATGTAAATAAAGCTGAAGGTGCTGATTTTTGGATGGGTTATTTGCAAGATGTGGAAAGTGAGTTGTTGTTTTGTTTTTTTTCCCCCATGCCTGTTCAGGAACTCATAGGAGTTAAAAAAAACAAAAACAGAAAAACAAGCAATCAAAACCAAAACACAAACTAACAAAAACAAAATCACCCTGAGTAGTATAGAAGAATCCCTTAATCTCATTTCTTCAGCTTTGTGGTGAATTAATTAAATAGTGTGTCTCAAAAATGATTAAAAACAGTGGTCTCTTCTTGCAGAATAGTTTTGATTGTGTCATGGTTTGACTCAGGATCAACAATTAAACCAATGACAACAATGCTCTTGATCCCCTCCCCCTCCCACCCAGGGGGGAAAGGAGAGAGCATGAGAGAGAATTCCTAGATTGCAAACTAAGCTAGGCAGCTTTAATTAAATCCTAATGATAAAAAGGCAATATGTATAAATATATACAAGTATGTGCAAGAAGGTGCAAAACACTTTTGCCTCCTCCAGCAACTCCCCCAGCATCTCCTGAGCTGTTAGCCATACCAAAATGTCCCAGAGCGATGTCGGAGAGAGCAGCAGAGCAGACAGGAGCTGAGGGGAGAGTTAGGAGAGTCAGGAATTCACAGGCCTAGGGATCAATGGTGATGGATAGATGGAGTCCTCCCTGGACCAGCCATGAACGGAAGATAAGGGGAAGAAGAAGAAGGAAGGAGCTTAACTTCTGTGATCCCGACTTTATACCGAGAGCTATGTAGATATTAAGGGATGGAATACTGTTTTTTCCTGTAACACTTAACATACAGGATAATGCTTTGTGGGTAATAAGCAATGAATGATACAACCTAATCATATTTTTTAGGTGGTGAGTCTCTGGTGACATTGGAGGATATTCTGCTCTTTGCAACAGGCTCTTCTTCTATACCGCCCATTGGTTTTGATCCTGAACCTACTGTTAAGTTTTTGCATATAAGTTATCCTGTTGGAAACAGACTCCTTAATTGTTTAGAGCTCCCTATAACAAAGACATACGAGAAGTTTAAAAAGAAAATGGAGTTCACCATCAGAAACACACTAAGAGTTGACAGAGAGTAAGTATTTTGTTACTAAACTGGATGTTGGAAATTTCCATTTTCTGCAGGATCATTGCTTGCAAATTGCTACTGTATTTTTGGATTGCGTGCTCTTGGCCTTTCTCTGCTTCTTCCCCAAAGATATGCTAGAAGTAGCAATTTTGCAAAATGGAAAAAATTTCAAATGAAAATCATCTTCCTGTTTGAAGTTGGCCTTAAGTGTCAGCAATCTCTTGCATAAGTACTTTAAATGTCTACTTTTTCTGTAGACAAGTGTGAAAATTTACCAGCCTCTGTAATATTCTAGCTGTTTCAAACAGGTAAATATGTTGATTGTATTACATAATACAGTAACTTATTTATCAAAGTCAAATCGGGTACATTTTGAAGAGGACTGTCTCAAGTAAAACTGATGCAGTTCTTCAGTTGTTTCATGTATATTTTTCCAATAATTGTTTTTATATTTATGATTAATTTACATTTTGATGATTCATACAAACCTATGAAAGTTAAAATACTTGGAGTTTTAAGGTAATTGTGGCTAGTGCATTAAAATACAATTAAGGTCTGAAGAAAACCTAGGCAAAATAATAAGATGCAAAGGAACAAAATCTGGTTGAACTTGAGCTTCTGTTATTAAACAAAATCTGTGACATTTGCACACATTTCTGCATTCTACTGCTATACATTAGTTTTTAATTATGTATATAGCCAAAATAGTAAAAACTAGAAATACATTTTGAATATGCAACAGTAAGTGGTCTTTCAAAATTAAATAGAGGAGTTAGACTTAGTGAGAATGAAATGGTAAGATTTTGTTGCTCATCAGAACATAATTTCATCTTCCGTGGAAATAATTTTTATAGGAATATTCACTAAAACTGTTAAGTTAAAGGCAGATAAGTAGTGAAATTTCTACATGGTAACACTTTAATGTTACTAATGACAAAACTATGAAACTAAAAGGATATACAAGTACAGGTTTTTTAAATGTAAGCAGGTGTCTCTTGAAATTACTATTTCCCCTCACATCAGTTTGATCATCTATACTATGTGCCAAGCATAGATTGTGACATAGATTGTGCTATAGATTTATATATCTGTATATACCTATCCACATTCTTCAAAATACTGAACGATAATCATAAACTTTTAATCAATATAGCTTGTTTTTAGTCGAAAATACACGCAGGCTTGCTGTGTTTTACTGTTTTGGCAAGAAAGTACATCCACAATAAATCAGAAATGGACAGATGCTTCTAAAAAATAATAATGCAAACTAATCTGGCTTCAGGTTCTGATTTATGGTTCATTGCAAGTATTCCTCTAATTAACAAATAGCATCACTAAATGCTAATTACATAGCAGTATATTGCAACTCAAGGACTGCAGAAGTGGTAGTCAAGACTTACAACACTGAGACCATGCTATGAAAGGTTAAAGACAAAGAGGCAGATACACAGGTATTTTGAAGTCTTTCTTAAACTTTTACAGTTTCTCTTTCTTGATCTTGGGTGAGGTGCTAATCTTTTTTTTCATACAGACCTATTTCCAGCACTGGGTAACAAAAGCATGCATGTATGCCACTTTTTTTTATGTGTTGGGTTTTTTTATATTGCAAAGTCTCTAAATTACTGCACGACTCACTACTTTCAAACAGCTAAAACTATCTCATCTCAAAGTCCTCTCATTAGAAACTTAAGAATATTTTAAATTAAGACAGGGCTAGTGGTGTTTTTCTGTTTCTGAGCTAAAAGCATATTAAAATCTCTCTTAAAATAAATGCACAAGCTCTTGCAGAATATAATTTGACTTGTTTATAAATTAAGCATTTTCTCATTCTCTTCTTAATTTTCTTCTACGATATTATTCCACGTTTGTCATCTTCACATAATTTTTGAATCCCATACTGCCAATAACTTCTTTATATCTTTACCCTTCAAAATGGTCTGTTACTATCAAAAGTAAGATTGTTTATTGCAATTTTGTTTGCATAGTAAGGATTCATGTTGTATGTTTATATTTTTAAAACATAGCAATTTGTCTCCTGCAAAGTATTATATTTTTAAAATAAGTGGTGTACCCAATATAGCATTCCTTTTTCTTGCTTAGTTAGAGTTAAATGTCTTCTGTAATACTATGTTCCATTTCTGTATGGGAAGTACAGAAGTTACAGAAATGGCAAGCAAAGTGTGGATAATTTTAAAGGACAATTCTTGGGCTTTTGGTACCAGCAATGGCAAGGGGAAGTGTTTATAACTTGGAACTAAATAAAACTGCTTTTTAAAACCTTCAGTGGAGAAAGGAATAAGGTAACATGAATACAAAGTTTCAAAAGTATTAGAGATTAAAATAGGGTTCACATCTTTTGCATATTATTTTTGAGTTCAGCAGTTGGTAACTTGTAAATAAACGTAGAACTAACCTATTTGTCAGCTGTAAGAGAAATCTTCAAGTTTACTTTAAAACTGTATGCTGTACAATATTGCTTGAAAATATTTTTTGCTTGCACAGAACTTGTTCCCATTTTCTAATACTGATGTACACATTCAAGACATGTCCTTTATTTTTTATTTAATCAGCTTTATCTGGACATTCTGATATAATCCTTTATATATTCAAGTTGTATTCCTAAATGCTACTGTGAAGAGGAACTTGCTCACTTATGTTCACTTACATAGACCAATATTAAATTTTCTCTTAACCGTTCATTAAAATTCCATTGAATAAGCTGACTTGAACCCATCAAAATACAGAAAGATCTCTTTTATCTAGAAACTGTAAGAGACATTTCTGTAGCTATAATGACCATCAGGTTTTTACTTTGCTATAGCAGGTCACTGAAGTGCAATATTATTGGGTAGTTTTTATTTTACATAAACTTTAATGTGAGGCACATCTGGAAATTACAGAAGTTGCTTACTTTCAGTATTTCTGTAACACAAGGAGAATAATTGCATAGGTATTATCTGTTGTCTATTAAGCATATTTTTATAGAAGTTGCTTTTTTTTTTTTTAAGAAAGATTTATCAGGGCCACAAGGGAGCTTTTCTAGTCCTCTTTCTTTGACTGTGTTTGGGCAAAGGACTTCACTCTACAGTTTGTGCACTGAACCCTAAGCTTCCATCTGGAATTAGAACATCAAATAAGCTATTTATTTTCTAGAGTGATAATTTTCTAATAAAAAGCAATAGATTAGCATTACTGGTTTTAGTATGGTCTCATTAATAATGCACATAGAATTAAAAAAAAAAAAACACAACAACAACAAAAACCAAACCAAACAACCACAAGTATTTTAGATCTACGTTTGAAAAGCCAAGAGATAAGAAATTTCTATTAATTGCTTTCACCCCTGCAAAGGATGCTTGCTAGAAAAACCCATTAGCATTTTCAGCTGGTTTGAGTGAAATCTAGTCAAAAGGAGAAGAAACTGGTACCAGTTTATACTTAAGGTCTAAATTGTGTGCTGCAGCTTTTCCTTTTTGCATTAACATGTTCAGTCTCGGGATTGGAAGACTTGAGGATTTTGAGAGGTATATTCAAAATGTAGAGCAGAGTATTAATTACTAATTCACACAGAACTCACGTTCTTATTTTGAATGTGCAGTTTGAAAATACTATCAAAACATTCTCATCCAAACAGGAATTGCAATTCTGCAGACTACAAAATATGCTTTTGAAGTTTATCTTGATAATCTGTACTATATGATAAGGCATTTAGGGTAAGGCATTTTCAAGCTCAAGCATTACTGTTCTTTAGGGAAGTTAATTGCTGGTTGAATAAAAAAATGCAAAGACTTCTGAAATGTAATAAGGATACAGAAAAACACCATGAAAATATTAAAGTTTGTAAAAAAAAACCAACATTGCAACCCACTGATTTTGTATTGCATAAACAATGTTCTTTATAAAGTTATGGTAATAAAGAGTATTACACAAGAAAGTATAGTTTTGTAAATAGTTTTAGCTCTAACATGAACTGCAGGATCAGTGCCTGAAATGTTGCATCCTCGAGCAACAGCTGTAGTGTCAGTGTTGAAATTATCAGCAATTGCGGGAAATAACTGTCATGTGTATGTTCGAAGTGCAATAAAAAATCTATTGGATTAAATATGTAACTTTTTTCAATGTTTTAATTTTAGTGATTCCCAACAAAGAGGAAGTTATGCAAAAAAAGTAGGGGAGGCCTGTATGGATGAACAAGAGGCTCCTTGACAAACTCAAGACATAAAAGGGGAACCTACAGAGGGTGGAAGCAAGGACAGGTAGCTTGGGAGGAATACAGAGAAATTCTCTGAGCAGCCAGGGATCAGGTTAGGAAAGCTAAAGCCCTGATAGCATTAAATCTGGCCAGGGACATCAAGGGGAATAAGAAAAGCTTCTACTTTCATTGGAAAAAGGAAGACATGGGGAAATGTGGGCCCTCTCCAGAAGGAAGCGGGAGAGGTAGTGAATGACTTTCACATCAGTCTTCACTGGCAAGCACTCAAGTCACGCTGCCAAAGTCGCAGAAGGCAAAGGCAGGGACTGGGAGAATGAAGAACCAACCACTGTAGGGGTAGATGGGATTTGAGACCATGTAAGGAATCTTAAGGTGCACAAGTCTATGGGACCTGATGAGATGCATTCCATGGGTCCTAAGGGAACTGGTGGATGAAGTTGCTAAGCCACTCCATCTCATATTTAAGAAGTTGTGGCAGTCTGGTGAAGTTCCCACTGCCTGGAAAAGGGGAAACGACTCCCATTTTTAAAAAGGAAAAAAAAATAAGACCCAGGGAGCTATAGGCCAGTCAATCTCACCTTTGTGCCTGGCAAGATCATGAAGCAGATTGTCCAGGAAACTATGCTAAGGTACATGAAAAAAAAAGGAGGTGATTGGTGGTAACCAACATGGCTTCACTAAGGGTAAGTCATGCCTGACAAATTTGGTGGCTTTTTACAATGGGGTCACAGCATCACTGGTGAAGGGGAGAGCAACTGTCGTCATCTACTGGACGTGTGCATAGTCCAGTCCTGCAC